GAACCCCCCCCCCCAAAAAAAAAAGAAACAAAAGAAAACTAAAAGTATTATGCTTAGGCAAGTTACTACGAACGAACAGAGGAGGGTGGCAGGTGCTCGTCATGATAAATAGCTCCAAACCATTGCCCCAACGACAGTGATGCTGGAAACACGACGTGATGACCGCAGTCGTGACCTTTATACTCTCTCTCGTGGAGTATGTACACACCGTAGCCGCTACACGGTACTGTAGGTAGGTTTGTTGCCTTGTAGACGGAAGACACTGCCGTTTGTCGTGCACCGCCAAGGGCTGAACCAAGTATGTAGCACAACCACCCGGAGGCCGGGGTCACGAAGAATATACTACACCTACAAAACATCTCGCGTACCCCCTCCCCTCCCCCCCGGACATGAGAGGTGGTCGTAGGACGTCACGTTACGCTTGAGAGCACGAGAAAGGACAAGACTACGAAGGAGGCGAGCACGCCGAAGGCTAGTACACGCGCTGGCCAACATAGTTGGGTCACAAAAAGCAGCGTGCCTTTCTTCGAGAGAACCATCCAGCCGGAGGAGGAGGAGGCTGGGAATCGACTGGACGTGACACATTGGAAGCTGCCAGCCGTCCTCACTTGAGCGCGACAAAAAGACAGACTTCGGCAACGACGGCAGTACGACACTCAGTGAGGCTAAACAGTGGGGTCCGGGGGCTTCGTTCGAATGGTGCCCTGACGCCGACAAACATGTGCGGTGACTGCAACCCCCCCCCCGTCCGCAGCGTTAACAGTAGTCGGGTCCGGCGTCGTGGAGGTTATGCGTTTGGGCGGTTCACCTTGCAGGAAACAACAAAAAAAAATGGTTAAAGAAAACAAAAAACAAAAAAACGCACGGGGTGAACTTTAGAAACAAAAATGAAACGTCGCAATAGAAACGAATGCCAAATGCCTTACCTCAAACTCCACGTCCGGTGGTAGGGCGACATCGGCTGGAGGAAAGCCCTTGGCATCTCCCGGTGGCATTATGTCCACCCAGCACTGCAGCATGCCCTGCGGCGCATTGCTACACACGCGATCGCGCCACGCGGCAACAAGACACGGAACGGTTTGCGCCTCAGTGATTGTGCTGTGATGTGATGATGAATGGTCACGGGGAACGACCAAAAACAGCAGGTGTCATTGCCATTGGTTGGAACCACAACAAAAAAACAAGAACAAGCAACACTAAAAAAGAAAAAAACACCTTTTACGTGAACCGCCGTGAGCTGCTTTGCATTGCTGCTCACTCATGCTCATGGCTTTGCTAGCAACAGAAGGACGGCCATGCACTGCTGCAGTATGCGGAAACATCGAGACATGGAAGTGTACGTACAGGGTACAGCACACAGCGATAGACGCATGTTGTCCACAAGGACGACATTGTCGGTACTTGTAGTATGTTGGGTGTTTCATGGTCGGCAACACCTTGAGGTCACACGACAGGACGCACAGCTCCACATTTAGGCCCAGCCTCAAAGGATTGTTTCTCATGCACTATGGCGCCTCTCTCCTCTCTCCCTCCTGCATCCAAAACAACTAACAATACCACAACACAAACGAGGACGACAAACAGCACTTTGGCGCGGACTGTAAGCCCACCTTGTGGGCACGTAGAGGCTGCGGTTCTCGAGCGGCTTGACCTGCCACCGCATCTTGTCCGGGGTGTTCAAGACTTCCGCTCGATGCTCCATACCCATATCCTACTCCCAAGAACAAAAAAAGCGTCACGAATGGCACGCGAGGGTACGTAGGTTGTGCATGTGCTCATCATCAAGCCATGCATTCCGCATTGTTATGTAGTCTTTCCATTTGTCATCACGGAGGGGTTGGGACCAAAAAGGGGTACACACATGTTCACACACACTCTACCGCGTCAACGCGTATTTAGTAACTGCCGCACCCATGCAGCGAAAAAAAACAAGTCCAACATTTTTAGAAAGTAAACATAACCTCGCAGAAAGACTACCCGTTCGAGATACAACCTCAGTCGAAAGGGATGTGGTGAAGTCTTTGCAGCAAGTGGATTGAAACAGACTGGAGACTTGGCTTATTTTGAGTTTGTGTAAGCCTTACACTGAGTTACCAGTGATGCCAGTTGGTGCTAAGAACAAAAGCATCTGTATAGGCGGATACGTTATTAATTTATGTAGAATGTGGGCTTCACAGGGAACATGGCGAAGTGTCGTTTGACATCTTGCTGTTTATAGAAAGTACTTCGCTGCTGTTTTAGGTGACTTGAAATAGACTACAGTATGCAGCAGTAGGACTGGTGTACTATACACCTACCGCAATTTTTTTTTTCAAAATTTGGAGTTGTACTGTAGATTTGAGTGCAGCTGTTTTGAGTGTAGCTGAAGTACAACATTTGTGGCAGGCGGGGGGGGGGAGGGGTTCGTTCGACGTTATGCGGTGGAAAGTGGACGAAGGGTAACAACGCCAAGAGCAACACCAACAATCGCACCTCCATGAACAGTAACACCAGGGGCGACAATGACGACGGCAACAACAACAACAGCAGCACCGCATGCACGCATGATGCCGCTCACCTGCCACCGCTGATCGAACCACCGGTCCTCCAAGTCGATCACGGTCCTCCCGATGAGCTCATCGCCACCGATGTCGTCGTAATCCATGACGTCGATCTGGACAACAGCAAACGAACAGCCAGGGAAACCACACAAGAGGCACTGTAATTGTCAAGTCGCGCTATGCACTCACAACAGCAAACAAAAAAATAACACGTTGTTGGTGGTGGTTGGTTCTTCTTGTAAACACGCGCCGTCACATACTTGTACACGGATTGAGTTGCCCTTGTCTCCTGGTAAGGTGCACACTTTTATTATTTCATTATTATTATCGCTCAGAGAGAAAAACAAGGGTATTAGTGACGGTACAGCGAGAGATGGATACAGATATCACACCAGAAATATTTTCAAAAAAAAAATGACGAAAACGCCTGCGGAAGAAAAAAATAACCAACCCTTCTCTCACCTGCAGCTGGCTGGCCCCAGGGAGCTCGCAGTTGAGCTCTACACACCTATACAGATCGGCGTCCGTGACGTCATCGATGTAGTTGTCCACGTCGCTAAACACCTGCGGGGGAAACGATTGAGTGACAAGATTAACGCGATCGGGACCAACGAATACAAAAGGCTCTTCAGCCAGTCTTGAGTCAACCAGTCTTACCCAACATGGACCATTCAGTAGACGAATCATTTCACCTCGTCCACAAGTAATAACGCCTCCTCTCTCCCTCTCTCTCCCTGGGTCTCTCTCTATGCATACATACATGTGTAAATCTCTCTCCCCCCCTCTCTCTCTCTCTCTCTCTGTCAGTCTATCTTTAGGTCTGTCTGTCTCTGTGTCTCACCTCCTTGCCCAGCTTGACCTTGAGGTAAGGGTCGGACTTGCCAGGCCTGCCCCCAATGCCGATGTCCATGGGGGTCAGGTTTAGGGCTTGCAGGCAGTACAGCCGAAGCTTATACCCCTTCGGCAGCAACAGCTCGTTCAGGATCTGCGCCAAAACGAAAAAGTAATCAGGGTGCTCTTTTGATGACACAGATATTCCTGCTTGTTCCAGGCCAAAAACGCAGAAGGGAAGAAACACGTAAACTACAATTGAAAACATGAATGTTGCAACAGAAGCCATATTCCAAGACATGTGGTCATCGCGGTACACGTTGGAACGGCCACCAAAATACCGCTCAAAAATGCTCCACCGTTCGAGTAGAAGGAAGTGGAATAAGTGGGCAGCTCGTGTACATTGGATAGAGTCGAGCTGCTATTGATACAACCAGAGCCGAACCGAAACAACCATAATTTAAGAATTTTTCATCCTTTCAGGCTAGGCTACATAAATAAGCCCCACGAAGACTGTTAATGACATATCACATACCACCATAGCACCAGCAGGCTATGGATGGATGGATGGAGGATACCACCTTCCCCGCAAAAAGAATCTACTGTACGCCAAATATGCCGCTGTCGCGCATACACTGCCGCTACGGCGCCTAACGAACTGAGTGCTGCGTGAGTCTGCGGCGGGTAACATGGAGGAGATGGAAGACAATTCAAGTCTCCAGTAGTGCCAAATCCTCCGCTCGTCTTGGCTCGACGCCCCAGCTACACCACACTACACCTATACGTCTAACGATTGGTATTGGTGGTGTGATACATCATGTTCTTCGTGCGCACCTCTTCGTTACGCTTCTTGTCCCCCGGGGTAAACATTGGCTGCTCGTCCGGATCTCCCTCCGTCACGCGGATCACGCACTGGGTGTGCATTCAAAACAAAACATAACATTACATTGGTGGATATACATTTTCGGGTGGTGTGCATTGGTGTTGGCACAACAAAAAAACGTAAAAACCGGACTCGGGCTCCCGCGAGAGAGAGAGCAAGGATGAACCGATGGGATACACACCATTTCAATCCAGTGCATGCGGACATACTTTTGATCCCAGCAGCACTTTCTTGTTTGACAGCCGTAGTATTTAAACGAATAATCTTACTTCAACGATAGTGGTTAATCATTTTCGCAACAAGGCCCAAGGTGTGAAGGAAAGCACGCAGGTGCCCCGCATTCAGGGCCCACGCAACGTCGGTTACGAGAGAGAGCGGGAATACCTATTTAGTGCAGCGGCATGATTTTTGCAAGCGGCAGCAATGCAAAGGCAACGCACGACGAACCAAGCCGGAGAACATACCCACGCGATCGAGAGTCGAGAGTCACATTGCACTTCGTCAGTCAGTCCACTGCTGTTGTGCTGTGCGCTTCACCACTACCCGCCGCCAGACAACTTCCACGAGGCCGCTACCCCACCAAC